GACTCACTCGCGGACTGTTGTGCACTGAAATACATATTGCTTGCCTCTCAGCAGAGATCCTGGTGCTTACTTATTTAACTGTTAAAAATCCTTTTACCCGCAAAGCACGCGGAAGACAATTGTGAAACCCAGGATAGAATTGGTTATTCCAAGATTCGAGGTCGGTAACAAACTTACCATTAGACGTAATAGTAAGCAATTGTTTAAGATTCACCGATTCTTGCATTTCTTCAGGAAATAGGATAACAGTACAGTACTGTACTAAGTCTCACACTTAATTATGTCCTCTCTCCCATAAAAAACTGCTTTCATGTCAATGTATGCTCATACAGGCTTCGAGAAATTAAGTGATTCTTTTTTACTGGGTATCCAAAAATATTTTGAATTCCAGAAAGTTGACGTTGAGGCTTATGCATGATAATATTCAATTCAATGAGTAATATGTTGTCAGATATTAACCCCCTTGATGTTTTATGAATATTTGATTTTGGATATCTCCAAGATTTTATAGGCACAGAACCTACCATTGTATGTTCTTTAAGTAGTTAAATTGACAATTCTTTAGAGAGAAGATTTTCTTGATTCTTGTTGCCAGGTAGAATTCAACAACTCCTCAAATTATATAAAAGAGTAAGTGTATTTCCATATTCAACAAAATGTACAATAGACTTGAACATAGCAATGACCAATGCACCAATGAGCACCTGTACCAACATGAACAGGTGGCTTTATAGATTCAATAAGACAGAATTTGGCAACTGCATTCAGACCCAGATCTGACCTTGTTTTGGAGAGGGTTGTGTAACCCTTGGTGGTTAAACATGTCCACAAGGACAGAAAACAGAAAGTATCCAGCAGCACAAAACATTGTCTGCTAAGGTACAAAGGAAAACCAGAAAGTATTTGAAGACAAATTTAACCCATGTTGATGCATTACTGGTAGGAAGAGTAAAAAAAAAAAAAAAAAAAAAAAACAAAAAAAAAAAAATAATTTTTTTTTAAAAAAAAAATTTNAGAAGAAAAAAAAAAAAAAAAAAAAAAAAAAAAAGCCGTAAAGAAGACAATGTCGCATTTTATAAGCCATTCATTGCTATCCAAAGTGCATTTTTGGATCTGAAACTGACTTTGTTCCCGTGCTCAGAACTGTCATGTAAATCCTAGTACATCATCTTTGGTCTTTCAAGGGACAAGTTTTCAATCCCTCAAGACTCAGGAAATCGGATCCTACAGTGAACACCATGTACCAACTGAAGAAAACCGATGGACTCGTGCATCTCGGAGACCCACAACGCAATGCCAATATCCCCTTCCAGACTAATAACAATAACAAACCCAAAGTGCAGTCATCAATCAGTCGTCGTCGGCCATCAAGTGCCAAAAGAGCACCTGAATTATCCAAGCCAAGTGCTCGGACTGAGCACACGGCAACAATAGCCTCAGAAGCTACCAGAGCCCCGGAAATGGAATCTGATCAGGTTGTTCGAGGTTGGTGGAATGCTGATGAAGAAATGGCTGATGATGAGAACGTCGTCGAGGCACAGCCGGAAAGAGCCGTTGACGACTTCCCCAAGCACCGTCGACACCTGAGGGCATCTGGGGTGAAAGATGAACTCAAGCTTCCTCCTGGTGAGGTTTTTGATTGTTATTGACAGGGCATGTGAAGAATCTAGCCAAAGTCTGCAGTGAAAGCTATTATGAATGAACAGAACACTTTATTTGCCGCTTTTCAGCGTTCACAAGGCACAACCAAGACTCCTGCATCCAAACCCCCTCCCCACCCAACCCAACTCCCCCCAAAGACATTCAATCACTTTAAAGCATGAAACAAAGGACAAACCAATGACAAAAACAAAAGAGAGAACACACTCTGCAAAATAAAACTAGACATCCAACACATATGCTATTAATTATGGTACCTAGGACATACCTTGATTTTGAGCCCTGATTGAGATGCACTGGTCTCTTCTTAAAAAAAACTGCTACAATATTTTGGAACCATCTGATAAGATAATTTCTCATATGTTTTGGCATCTTTATCCAATGGTATGTTAGATTTTTGAATAGATTCACATCACAGCTCCTGAACAACACAATCTTCAAAAAATGTAGGCAAAGTAATTATATCCTTGCTGCATTTTTACCGATAAAAGACACACAATGAACAATCTTTTTTTTTTTAATCTTCGAACCATTCGAGAAATTTAAGGTGGGAACTGTAATATACACCATGCGTAGAGTAAGCATATACTCCGGAGAAAATGACTATTAAATAAAAGGCATCTCTCATTCCCAGATAAGACAAAATTCCCTATGCTATCCTACAAACGAGTTCGACACTTTAGACTCAGTTTCTTTTATGGTTATGTCTTCCTCTTCTAGATACAAATAACAGCACAAGAAGTTTCCCACAAAATTCTCTTTCTTCTTGTTTTGGCTTGCCGACTTTTGTGCTGTCCCCCATTAATGTGTGAGACCTATTTTCTCTGAGAATATGCTCCTATACTATTTTTCTGCTGACAGTGACAGATGTGAATTACTGTTTCCTGGAGCCTAGTTCTCTTCAATAATATACTTTGTGCTGGTTCCCAAGAACTCAGCATCTTAAAACATCGAGACCTGGATACGCTTTCTAGCTCTGAAACTATTTCATGAGCTAATTCCCTGAATGTATATGTATTACCGGAATTCCTATTATTCCACAGAATACTTCCTGAGAGAATTGACTCAACAACTCTCGCGATTGTTGTTCTCAAGAAGACTTGCATTGTTTTAGCAAGACTTCTTTAACTTAGTTTATCTTGACTGTATTGCATGTATTGTATGTGTATTGTGATTGTATCAAAACCAAAGAATATATTTAGTCATACATATTTTATAAATATTTGGAGTATATTTATTTTATTGTGACCAACCAAATACTCAAGCAGTTAAGATAACACCTAATTTTAGGTATATCTCTGTCTTTCATAACATTCTATAGTGCAATAACGCAATTTTATGTCTTTCAATTAACCAGGCCAAAATTTCAATTCCATTGTGAGAACTAAATACGAGTGATATGCAACTTCATCATTTCAACTTTAGCCGCTCAGTTTTTTGCGATTTACGAATTTTGCATACTAGGATAATTATACGACTTATGATTCCCACAACTTGATGAAAAACGGTCCTCTCCTCCAAATCTTGGAGGAAAAGGGAAAAACTGTCAGCTTTATGTGCTCTCTCTTTGAAGATTTTCTCTTAATTCTTCAGTCAATTGAAAATTATCTGGGAACAGGCTGAAAACTTTGTGTTTTCATTTGTGCTCAGTAATTATCCTGTGCTGGGATTTTTATTTTATTTTTTGTCATCTTAAAAGAAACTGGATGGAAACTCATGAATTTGTATTGTTCATGTGCATCGGAAACATTTATTTTTAACCTTGTGAATGCTGACGAGCCCTCAAGGAAGCTGTTATACATTAATACCGATCAATCAATTGAATGATGAAAGTCAAAAACTTGAGGGAAATCCAATATAACGAGTTGAATGATGTTTACGAATAATTGTCTCTTGAATGAGCATGTATAGTGTAGTTATGGAATATCCACAATGCTTGATTACCCCGGTCATAGAGGACCCGGCCATTACCTCAGATAACGGGAAATTCTTTGTATAAGTAGGGTTTTTCCTTTTCACCGCAAGTGTCGGAACTGACTGTGTTGGAAAACCCGGAAACTTCAGCAGGCGGCATGGACGAATTTTTTGATGTTCCACTTGATGATCGCGTTCTCGAGTCTCCCACCAATGTGAGTGGCAGGATGAGAGAACCCAGTAAACCTGGTCGAAATGCCAAAAGACAAAAGCGACCCTCTTCGAATAGAACCAGCAATGCTGTTCGCTCCCTTTTGTCCAAGAGTGTGCCCAGTCCTTCCCAGGCTACGTCGATGACGCGTGACACTGACGAAACATTTGAAAGCATCGATAAATGGGTCAGAAGAATACAATTAATACAAGATTTTAATTGTATCCCCATCTGCCTTAAGAAAAACCAAAGATCGTACTGTAGTTCAGATATTAATGTTATCAACACGCTTATGAGATGTGCTACGACATGAATAGATTGACAAACCTATATTTTATTTAGCGTGCTAAATAAAATATTTCCTTTAATGTTAAGTGATTAAATCGAAGATCATGCGGAAGCTTTGTGAACGTGTATTGCTTTGGGCATGTAATGAAAAAGTCCAAATGCTGTCATAGGGTGAAGTACTTCAGTATACTTCGTGAACGGAGTGCAAAAAACTTTCGATTTTCTGGCGAAAAGTTACACTGATACGGATTTTTCCCTGATTCATCTCAAGTTTGGAAAGCTTCCAAGCCGTATTTTCCTGTTTTAAAGCGAGTCAACTGATTCGAAAAATTGCTCAGGTATTTTCCTATATATTCCCTAGCTTCTCCAGAAAAAAATTGAAACTCCATGCTGTGTTTAAACTTCTCGGAAAAGATATAGTTTTTGTGGCACTTGATGCTAGGCGAAAAAAGAAAGAAAACCAGTGTACTTATCACATCAATAATCATGTGTTGGTTTCATTCCTCTCCAACAAGGGTAACTTGAATCGAGTTTTAATGCCTGACTTAGGGTGTTCTCACCCCGGTCGCAGCCCGACCGAATTTCTGCGTTTCATTCAAACTTTCATACTCAATTTCTCCTTCAAATAAGGTTCACTGCCTAAATCTTCATTTGTTGGGTTTTATTCCTGACAGTTCGTACTCGCATCGATGCCAAGCTTGACCAACTGAATTATTTTCCGATTTATTTCTCGAATTATGCTCATGGTTGTCAGTGGAATACAGTATTAAAATAGAGAAACATTTAAATGCAACTGTCGTCTGGATATGGTCGAGTTAGATGCGGTAGAAAAGTGTTTATGTAACCTGCAAACAATTTTCAATTAGTTAATGAGTCTTCACTTTTTATTTAGAAAATGAGAAACCTCCTGAAAAAAATTAAATTTGTATGGCATCTATTGCAGATTTTAAGCTGCATTAAAATAATCCAGATGCAAGAGACATCTGAGTGCTGAGGCAGTTACCCAGTCTTGAAGGGAATTTAATTTTAAAAGTGCGAAACTTCATTTTGGCTGCAGAAATAAGGGAAGCTGGAGCATCCTCACTCCTGGGATGTTAAAAGAGGACTTCTATTATTATCTCTGATCACAGGTTTCATGGAGACAACAATCACACACACAATCAGCAAAGACAATCTCGCAGTATGCAATAAAAACTCACTCTCAAAAAGAAAAAGAAAATCAGCAAAGATAAGATGCTTTGCCTATGGCGCAATTCCCAACATGCAAATTTCCAAAGCAAATAACTCCACGAATTTCTCAGTTACAAAATTCCACAACATCTTAAATTGAAGCTGAAGATGTTTCCAACTTTTTTTATGTATATAAAAATTGACGCAATCATTTGATCTTCAGATATTCTCACTTTTATAAACCTAACTTTTTTCTGTGATACGAGTCTGGAAAACCTTCATGCCAGATTCTTATCTCACTGATGCACAAGCTTTTGGTGCAAACAGTGACTTCAAAAGCCTTGTTTCTAAATGTACATGAATGAATTCATTTCCACAACAAGCATCATTTTCTTGAATTTCAGCCTGCATTCCTTTCATGCTGGGTGATTGCAATTTTCTTTTGAAACTTCAGCTGCCTTGTTTGTAGAAAAAACAACAACCTTCTCGAGGGACACAAGAAAATGCTTATTGAATTTTTTTGGTTCATCTTTATCATAACAATGATAATATAAAATTTATAATGTTTCATGAACTTTTATACTTGAGTAGGTGTAACTTGCGATCACACGATGGATGATTTGTAATTGGTGGGAAAGTCCATTGCCCTTGTGCATATTTCAATGTGCCAACTTTGTGAAAATCCCCACAATAAACAGCCCGGTTTTAAAATGTGGAACAGCTTGGCATAAAAATGTTTCAATGTGCGTCGTCCTTAATTTTGAAAATGAGCCGTCTTTTTGTTTCTCAGTCGCGGGAGCAGATTATAAAAAGTTTCAACACTTTTTTTCACATTTTTATTCGACGTGAAGGATTTATATTCAAGATACAGATTGATTCATTAGTATCCATCACTCAGTCGAGATCCGGCAAATGTCTCATTGTGCAGACGTAGTATGAGATCGAAAATGTTCAGATAATTTCAAATGCGCAAATTTTCAAACACTCTCTGTTCTTTTTGAAACTTGAACGTTTCAAAGAAGTTGACTATTTTTTCGAAGGTCTGGGATATACTCAACTGATCATGGCTTTCCTGCACCTCACCTATTACACGTTTTTCAACGCTCTTTCCATCTACTATTTGCGTGAAAGTTTCCACGATGTATTGCCTTGGAGTTCATGCAACGCGAGCCACGTTTTGCCAGAAGATATCTGCTTCTTCAAGAAAGAACCACCAGCGGAAGTTGCTCAAATCGCTCGCTATGCTCCTGAAATCTACCTCAAGTTTGTACAAGTCTAAAGATAAATAAATACTGAACACTATTGATGGAAATAACCACGAATAATAACCACAGCTGTGTACCGTGCATTTATAGAATTTTAAGCCGATGTAAATAGATTTGTTGGAGACGAAACCTGAATGTTCATCGGAGCATGATGCTTTTTCTTGATTTTACGAGTATGTCAAAAACGAAGTGAGAACAGTTTGTTTTTGAGAAAAATACGTGACAGCCCCGAACTTTAAGAAGAAAACTACCGCATAAAATAACTGAAATAGTTCACGTATGACGCTTTTCAAATCCTGATATTTTGTGTAGATAATGAAAGTCTGAATGCTCGGCGCTATATATGAAAGCTTTTACTTTTGGTGCAGAAAAATAAATTTAGGAAATTTTGATTCAAAAGAATTTTGGCGAGAAAAAACCGGACTATTCAAAGTAAAATTTTTACTGTTTGAAGGTCGTATGTGCTGGAAATGGAGGATTTGTCTGTGGAGCTTGGCCACGGGATCGGTGAAATTGTGCCCATGTTGGTCTTGTACACGTCCATCGCCTGTGTTGCTCTGTTCCTGGTATGCATCAGTGGTTTGCGAACATATAGAAAGGTAAGCATGAAGTAATTACTGTACTGTATATTCATAAATTCTAATCACGTCTGTGAAACCATTTTGTAACCGTTTTGTGAACGAATTTGAGTATTTCACTGCTGTTATGTTTCTCACAATGAATTTTTTTTTACAAGATGCTGGTCAGAGTACAATTTTTGTGTACCAATTGGTGAGCGTATAAGATGCTTACCTTCACTTCTTGGAAGAAAAGTCAATCTTGAAAAGGCCTTTCTTGACAGCCATCCCTTCTTGAATGAATGAATGAACAGAATGCTTTATTTTCTGCTTTTCAGCATTCACAAGGTTCAATCAAGATTTCCACATCTGAACCCCATCCCCACCCAACCCAAATTGACTAAAGGCATTTAACCCTTGTGCGGCAAAGTTGGACTATTTTTGCGAAATTTTGTGGCACCTCTGGGAGGTTTGGAAAAAAATGATAACAAGTGGTCAAGGGCGAAGTCAGGAAAAATCCCAATGCGTTTTTCTCTGAACACAGAAAAATTTTGCCGGCAAAAAAAAAAAAATTATCAGTTGGGCTACCAGCTTTTTTCGGATTAGTCCTGACTTTGCCTCAGCCCACCTGGAAGGGTTTTGGTGACCTTCCAAAAAGTGAAAATTTGGGAGGATACAAAAATAATCTGACTCCATCCCGTTATGGGAAAGAACCCTCCACCGTCCAAGGGTTAATTGTTTCAGAGCAGGAAACAGAGAACAAATGGATAACAAAAATAAAAGAAAATACTATCCACAAAATACAACCAGACATCTGACATGTATGTATACAGATACACCCCTTCCTTCCCTGACATTGAAAAACGAAATATCACTAACAATTAATTTAAAGCACAAGGTCTTCAGCTTGTTTCCAGATGAGGTTTAGTTGAATGAACAATTTAGAGAAAATCTTTGATGAGAAATCATAGAAGGCCAGCAGTTTATCTTGATCCTTCAGGATTTCAGAAGGGGTTTTTTCATCAAATCCCTTATTTAAAACTCAAATAATATGCACATCAGTTTTTTATCCTCAGATTTTTTTGAAGAAAAAACCCCACATGATGCTTATTACAGATTTTAAGCTGCAAAACTCACATTCCAGATGCAAGAGACATCTGAGTGCTGAGGCAGTTACACAGCCTCCAACGGATATTAATTCAAAGTGCAAATCTAAATTTATGACTGCAAAAATGAAGAAAGCTGGAGCATCCTCACTCCTTGGATGTTAATAGAAGACATCTTTATTGTCTCATCACAGTTTTCATATAAAGACAACAATTTCACATACAATTACCAAATAAAATCTTGCATTGTGCACTAAAAACTTGCTTCCAAAAGAAACAAATCAGCAAAAGAACATGCTTTGTATATGGCGCAATTCCCAACTTTCAAACTTCCAAAGCAAATACCTCCACTAGTTTTTAACATGAAAAATTTCGCAATGTCTTAAATTGAAGCTGAAAATACTGTCAAACTTTTGTTACATCATATTGAAATTGATGTGACCTACAGATCTTGACATATTCTTCCTTTTCTGAACCTAATTTTTCTTTGTTGATAAAAATCTGGAAAACTTTCATGCCAGATTCTCATCTCACTGATGCACAAGCTTTTAGCGCAAACAGGGACTTCTAAAGCCTTGTTCTTAATGCATGAACGAATTTATTTCTGCAACAGATACTTGAGAGAATCCTGTATACTTATTGAAACTTGAAAAATGGAATACTTGAACAGATTCAAGTCCAATTCCTCTTGTAATTGGCTTCCATTTTAATTTTGCAATATTCTCATACCTTTGATGAACGAGTGAAGGATTTAAAGAATTGAACAAATCATCCAAATTTGTTGGATTCAAAACAAATTTCAGGTTATTTTCATTTTTGTTGGAGCACCGTACGTCGTCTTAGCCTTTCTGATGGTCCAGTCTTTCAGACTACCGGGGGCATGGAATGGCATTCAAGAAGGATTCAATCCAACCTTTGAACATATCAGTAGATCCGAGGTGTGCTTTATAAAAAAAAATTCAAAGATTAAAAATGGTTTTTGAGAGGAAAATGAATTTTCCGGTGCTGCAGGTTTGGAGCACAGCAATAACATTGTGCTGTTCAAGTTTTGGCATAGCAATTGGCACAAACATGGTGTTTGCAAGTTTCAACCCTTTTAATGCATGAACGAATTTATTTCTGCAACAGATACTTGAGAGAATCCTGTATACTTATTGAAACTTGAAAAATGGAATACTTGAACAGATTCAAGTCCAATTCCTCTTGTAATTGGCTTCCATTTTAATTTTGCAATATTCTCATACCTTTGATGAACGAGTGAAGGATTTAAAGAATTAAACAAATCATCCAAATTTGTTGGATTCAAAACAAATTTCAGGTTATTTTCATTTTTGTTGGAGCACCGTACGTCGTCTTGGCCTTTCTGATGGTCCAGTCTTTCAGGCTGCCTGGGGCATGGAATGGCATTCAAGAAGGATTCAATCCAACCTTTGAACATATCAGTAGATCCGAGGTGTGTTTTATAAAAAAAAATTCAAAGTTTCAAAATGGTTTTTGAGAGGAAAATGAATTTTCCGGTGCTGCAGGTTTGGAGCACAGCAATAACATTGTGCTGTTCAAGTTTTGGCATAGCAATTGGCACAAACATGGTGTTTGCAAGTTTCAACCCTTTCAGGCAAAATGTTTACAGGTGATTGTTCCTCAAAATTTCCTTCCATTTGGGTGTATTGTAAACTATTTTGAAGTAAAGTGCTCTCTGTATCGTCCAGTAATTTCTGTAAGGAGATGATTAGCCATTCATTTAGCTCTGGGATGGTTTTCTAAAATATTTCCAGGCTTTGTAAACTCTTGCCATGAATTTTGCGAATCATTCTCAGCCGAATATCCGGGCACCCATGTTTATAGAAAGTTTATGGAGCGTAATAAACGATTTTACAATATTTTTCTGCTTCGTGTTTTTTTTGTGCCAAAGGGATTCTTACAGAATGGTGATCCTGGACGTGCTCAACAGTTTGCTGTGCGCATCCGTGATTTTCGCATTCCTTGGCTACATTTCCCAAATGAAGGGGTTGCCAGTGTCGTCGAGCCTGTTGCTGGACCCTAATCACATTGTGTTTATCACCATTTCCTCGTTATGTGCACTTGTTCCTCACGTGCCTCAGTTGTTTGCTGTTGTCACGTACCTCCTGATTTTGTTCATGGGACTTGCAAATGTTTCGTGCTACGTCATCGTTCTCTCAGTTGGCATCACTGACATCTGGCCTCGTCTCAAAAAAACTATGCTGCGACCTTTCATCATCATTCTTGTCTTGATCAGTTCACTGTTGTACAGCCTCAATGTGAGTTATTTCTTTAATACTGTACTTCTTATTTTTTAAATGAAGCGCAGGCATTCTCATAATTGATCAGTTTGATTTATTTTTTTCACTCCTGTCTAACCTTCTGACGCACGTAAAATTGTATGTAAGGTCTTATTACAACAACCAAAAAAACAATGTCCTATACTACTTCCTATAGTTTCCGAAAAACCGCAGTATGCATGACTGAATTTAATAACAAATCGTACGTATATACGTAATCGTACGTAATCTTATCTTACGTAATCTCACGTATATAATAAAAAAAACTACCGTTACATTTTGAGTGATCTCATTTTCATAAATAATAGGCGGGGGTAATATTTATCACACATTACTGTACCGTACTTCGCAATCTCAAATATTTTCGACGAAGTCCGACAAAGTGAAGAACAAAAATACTAAGAGAACTAACTACGATTATCTCACATGAGGTGCGTTAAATTGAGAAATGGGAGCACATTTTAAGGTCATCTTGAGGGATTGGGTAAGGGAATTATTGTTTTTCGTTGATGTTTCCTACATCCGAACCCAAAATTATAAATAAACATAATTTGTTCCAACCAAGTTTCGATCTCATCGCTGCACTTAGTAATAATAATATCTAGAGCATCAGAGCAGAAGAAGCAAATAAAAAGGAAATTTTTGTTGTTGGCTACAGCTAGAAAAGGAATTTTTCTATGCTGGGGACAAAATAATGGAAGGTATATAGTTCGTTCAAAGGTCAGTGTTGCAACAGCAGTTATCAAAGAGACTTTGAATGCAGCAATGAGCATCATATGGAACATGTGCAAGTCCATTCTAAAGGCATAATACAATTTTCAATCGCGGAGAATGTCCTATATATTTTTCGTTGCATCGAAGTGAACGCGGCGATTCGGAATAATCTCAAGAATATACAAGCTCTTTCGTTGTTGGAAACAGTAATTTGAATTTTATAAAAGTTTGACTTTTGCTTGGGATATGAAATGTTTGAATTCGACGCAATCAGCTGGGCAAAGGCCAGGGTGCTTTAACACCCTAGTGTAAGGTTGATATATTTTGGAGTTTTGGTTGGATTTGGATTCAAACAGCAGTTCAACAAGCAGTCTTTTGTGTGAGACGACACAGAAGCAACTGATACTCAAATGTAGAAACAATTCACTATTTAAACATTTTTCTTTCAATGGCATTTTTGTCCCTGAGCATTATCCTTCAGAAGTATTTCCCCAAGAATCCCAAATCTTGTGGGAACTTGAGGTCAAGTTTGGTCCCACTGGATCCCCAACTTTCTTGACGTATCGCCGTTTTTGTGGCGCCACTTTAATCCTGTCATATTTTAACTTATTACTAATTTGTCCAATTTCTTTGCAACATTTGTATTAAAAATTCGCAAGTACATTTTTTCAAGTAAAAATTAAAATGAACTTTTTGTGCCGGTTAATCCCCGACGGGTTTCTGTTTCAGACGGGTCAGTACTGGGTGGTGCTCGTCAATGGGTCATTTCAGCAGTACATTCTGGTGGGATTGGCACTGTCTGAGGTTTTGGTGATGTGCTATATTTACGGTAAACAAACATTTTTGCTTTTGAAAATACCACACGTAAGCTAAATTGTTATTCGTCCCGATCAATGCATTCCAGGGGTGAATAAATTGTGCACTGATATAGAGTTCATGGTCGGGATTTACCCCAACAACTTCCTTCGATTTATGTGGCGGTTCGGGACGCCGTGCCTCCTCGTCCTCCTTGTGATGCTGATGATTCTCGACCCACCGAAACCTCAATACACCACTTATATTTATCCGGATTGGGTCACCAGTGAGTAGAAATTTATGATGCATTTTTCAGTCAAATGTTTACCGTTTGCATCGTCTTGTCTGTATCGTTGGACTTATACTTTCCCAGAACCTGCGATTATCACCTTCGTTTCCTTGGTTTTCTTTCTGATGGCGATCGGATTCTTGCTGACTTTGTACAGAGTGAAGGATGAAAGTTCTTGGCCGAAGGTGAGGTTTTTTTTTTTCTTCATTGCTGCCAATACCATAATTGCTGGGAAGAAAAATTATAAACTCGAGGAGCGGAAAAAATTTAAAAGGTAAAATGGGTTTTGATAGAAACCAAATAATACTTGCAGTAAACTGAAGATTTAGCTTATTGTTGTTTGTGGAATGGAAGCTAAATTTTCGAAGTTGATTTCCGGAGATTCGATGCCCTTTTTGAAGTTATACGGAAGCCTTAGAATCACTTGGATGCGCACGTGTGTTTTGAAATCAAGTGAAATGCTTTCCTTTGATTCGGCTATAATTTTTTACCACAGTAAAATTGCTCTACTGCATTTTTTCTATCTTACTCTCTAGATAAGGGGCTTATTTAGCTTTTGAAATCCATTCCAGAGCACTCAAATTTCATTCGCAAAGCTGGCAGTGAAAAAAAGGCAGTGCAGTTGTATACAAAAATGCATTGTAGGTACAAATAAAATTTAAAATTCCAAGGGAATTTTTTGCGGATTTATCAAATTTAATTCTTTGATTCATTCGTAATAGTAATCGTTACAAATACATTTCCGCAGGTTGGGCCGATGAAGTTCACGGAGTTTTCAATTAAAGGTTTTCAATTTATTAATGCTTCCGATAAACTTCACGGTATCAGTCAAAGAAAAAGTCACATTAGAATTTAATCATATCCAGTTTTTTTGCCGTTGAATTTCAGAGTAAGTTTGAAATTAGACTTCAAGAATTGCTTCTTCGGAAAAATTATCAACGCGAGAGAGAGAAAGGTGTTAAGTGGTTTCTTTTCACAAGATTTAATCAAGTTTTCTGCAAACTGAATATTTAATTCAGTTTGCGCCCATTGTGTGATATGACAGCATTTTACCAGACTTTCTTTGAGAAAAATTGATACTGTTGGCAGCAGCATGCAGCTTTCCTGACCCACATTCGCGGTCTTCGAGATAAAACAATTCATGCTTTATCAGGAATTTTTTCTTTTGTTTCTCTTTCCCAAAATTTGTCGAATCATTTCCAGCTCGTCTTGCTGAATCGTACCTCTGTCTGAAGCTTAATATTCATTCGTCCTGTGCTTCTAGGGTTTGCCTGCTCAAAAAACATTTCTGTTTTCCGCTCGGTCTACCGTCTCGTCTGGTGTACCATTACTCTTTCTGAAATATCTTGATTTATTCAGGACACCATGATCTAATACTTTTCTCTTATTTTTCGCATTCTTCTTCCTCTTGGGACGGGGTTCCGTCGACAGCGGTTTTACGCGTGCTTCGACTATTCGAGGTTCTGGGGGCCGCAGGAAATGCGCACCCGGGCCTTGTGGGAAGCACACAAACGTCAGTTCCAATACCGCTTACATCCCTGGTGGCCGTCACCATAATCAACAAAGGTTCGCGGAACCGAACCCTGGGCTCCATTAGATAACATTAATTCCCGTTCCGCGGGAACCGCGAAATATTCTTTGCCGGTTACCATGGCTGCACGAACATCACTTGTCGACTCTGGCAATGAACTGTACTCGACGAAAACGCTGGGAAAATGAGGTCGATTTTTTTTAATGTTTCGGTTCCCGGCTGTTCTGCTTTTTGTTTTTTTCTGGCTGCGATTGATGTCAATAAAGTCATAGAATAAGGAAACAATCGCCATCCTGATACAGTATTTATGGCTGTACCTTTTAACGAATTGAAGCTGGAGTTTTCCCGTGTGAAATAATCTGTATTCCAGATGTTCCTGTATTAAGTTACAATATTTGAGTTTCTCTTGAGCAATATTTTCATCACCGATTCAAAATCGAACAATAATGAGAGTAAACCTGGCATGTAGATGAATGCATATTTGATGCAGTCCATCTTTAGGAGATTTTTCTGGAACATCTCTCTTTTTTTAAATTGGTATTCTGGTTTGTTGGGTGTGTAACTGTTCTGAGATGAGTAAAAATTCCGAGCGAAAGACAGCTGATGCGAGAGAATACACTAAGAGAGACTTTTTATTCGTACAGGTGGGTCGATTTTATATGGTTTTAGGACAAATTTTCAAAGAATGATTGGTGAAAATATTGAGTTTAGTATCCTGGGAGGAGTTCGGATTTTCATCAATGAACGTTTTGAGTAGAAGTTTGAATTTTTCCACTGAACGGGAGTAAACATACCAACTATATCAAAGATTCTTGCAAGGATCGCAATTATCTGCATATTATTGTTGGGTGGATCAGATTTGGTCGAGGCAAGGATGCGGTGGGATGATGCGGATGTCTTCGATAATTTCAGGTGATATTCCAAGTACGACCCGTTGTAACGAGACTTCACTGTATTTGTAAATATTTCTCTTTATCCCTCTCTTCCTCATATCACACATCAGTCTGAATATATCCAAGCGTGGGTGTAGACTGCTGCAGGAGCCAAAGGTTCGAGGTTCCCGAATATACGTGTGTTTCTCGTGGAGCAAGCTCGGAAATAAGCAGGGAGTCTCTTTTGCACGCGGGGATCTGGAGCAAAGCATTCGTGGAGCAGCGCGTTCCGCGAGGCCAGACAAGATTGTCCGGTGAATAATTCATCGCGGAGTGTATTGAGTAGGGAGCGGATCCGAGGCGGAGAGCTGTTGGTGGTCTAGAAAGAAAACTCTCCCTTCTGCGTCCCCAGGACCAGGACCATAGGGCCGGGGGAAGCCAAAGCCTTATACCTTGGCTCGCTTTTGCCTTGCTTGCGACAAGCATTGGGATCCGTCCTCGTATATATACAGTACAGTATATGTAAGCATGTGCACTCTCAGACAGAAACCCTTCTTCTACTGCTGATTTTTCCAACTGTTTTTTCTGTTCATTGTTTGGCATTTCGTGAATATACACGTGGAGTAGTTGGATGAGTCCATGAACTGCAAGTGGATTTATTGGAAGGAGGATGATGGTTGATGGAGATCATGAAATGGATAAATGGAGGTTCCTCTAACCCAGTGGTGCCCAACTCAAAACTGGTGGCGGGCCACATAACAAGGAGGAATGTCTTTGCGGGCCACATGGAAAAAAAATTTCGGCTTATATTATTCAATTGTTTACTGGAGGAGGGTTCTAAAAATGGAAACATTCCGCTTATTTTTTCAATGAAAGCTATCCCCTGAAAATGTCAAATTAAGGTTGGATTCCCTGCCTTTGCTAACATGTTTTAACAGCTCTAACCCCTGGATGCCCAAGTTGGACATTTCTTTGTGCAAATTTTTGTGACCGAGGGGACAGAATACAAATTCAAAAAAAAGGTAGACAGTGTGTACAGAGGATGGTCTGGAAGATTCCTGGCATTTTTTGAGCAAAGAAAAATTAAACACAATTTTTTTATTTGCTGGCTTGGATGTAATCCCCCCATTGGAATGTTGTACAAGGATCTTGGGGATTTCATTTTTGACTGCAGTTGGAAGCATCCCAGTCATTATAGAAGCCTTTAAACTCATTGCGCACAAAGGCTTGGTTTCAGAATTTTACAGCAACTATTAATCCCTGGATGAGTCCTTATTTTGCCCTGCCCCACCTGCCTGGGTTCTGCTGATCTTTGGGAAAAACCAAATGCAGCATCACATGGAAAAATCCCAACTTAGCCTTGGGATTAGAAGGAACACTTTGCTACTGCTGAAAGGGTTAAATCAGAAGTTTTTTTTGCCAGTCAGTGTTGAATTTTCTTCAACATTTTAAGTATATCAAAGGTAGTAATGAAGTATGTCATCTTTGTCTGAAATATCAGAAAGGCAATGGAAGTTGAAATTATCTGATGAAAATTAAAGGGTGGCTTTTCTTATTCCAAGGACAATTCAGCCAAATTTGTCACTTGCTGAAATACATTATTTCAAGTGGTCATTTTGAGATACCTTTTCAAAGCCCAGCTTTCTAATTTTCGAAGACATTCCACTGTATCCATTTCATTGGTTCTTAGCTTAATTTTTGCAAGAAAAGTTGTGGCTGGAGAACTTTATGGCAAATATTTTGGAAATGTCTGCATGTCTAAATAAATTGCATGGAATTTTTCTGGTTCCAAGCAAATTTTATGGAAATTTGCCAGTCTTCCAAAAATTACATGGAAATTTGCTGAATCTGCATGCACAAAAAGGTTTGGGAACACTGCTCTAGACTTTGTCTAAATTGCACTAATTCCTTGCCAAATGAGCCTGATCTGTCCAAAGCACATCCCTCATCCGTGACGTTAATCAACTGCCATGAACACCATCCTAGATTGAAAAATATTCATGGAGTGAGTGAATGAGGATTCAAGAGATTCAAAATATTTAGGAAAACAGAAAACTTTGCGAGATCCAAGGAGCAGAGAAATAATTCCCTTTTCATATAGAATATATATACCATATTTACTCAAGTACCAAGCACATGCCCTTGAGTAAAGCACACACCAGGGGTCATCAGTCAAATATTTGATGAAATTGTATCACAAAGTAAGTCATGCTGTGCCCCATTTTCAGTGACTCTAAAACTGCAAAATATCTTGAATCTAAGAGCAGCAAAATTTGAATTCTGACATGAATTTAACCTGAAATCAAATAATTTGCATTTATTTCCGTTACAAAAAGTTTTGTTGATGAAATTGGTCCAAAATTCAAATTATAGTGCACGCATAAACTCCTGAAACTTTTTGAAAAACTTATCCCCGTATGAGATGCACGTAAAAATGCGCGTGTGGTACTCATTTAAATATGGTTACCAGTACTAGTCTTATAGCTGTATTATTTATTTGAATGAGGAATGAACGAGCGAAGCTCCGAACGTAGATTTGAGCGAATTCCAATGCTCTCAAACAAGCATCCGAAGCGAAAGCCTACGAAGTAAATCATTCTATACCAGCTATGTTGATTAAAACAGGCAAAAAATTATAATTAGAATGTGGACCGATACTCCTAGCAGTTAGCATTTTGCACAAAAGTACAGTACAGTACCTCCTCATCGGTGACCCTGCTGGGAATAACGCAATGTTTTTGGCGCGTGAGAAGCTAGTGTTTCCTGGAAGCATGCAAAAAAGAAATCGACAAAAAAGCGAAAGGGAAACGCGGGAGACCCTGAAAGCTCTGGAAAGTCGAATTAGCATTTTCGTACCTGATTCCATGCATTACTCATTCCGGCAACCAGGTCCGCCAGGGAACCTCGCCAAGAGACCCTCCAAGCCTAATGGAGTCGGAAACGGAAGAAGTCCGTTCCGTTTGGACGACAATTTTTTCCCTCCATCTTTCCTCTCTGGAGTATCAAGAGTAGCTGCTGCTATGGCTGCCAAAAAAAGCCAGTTATACTGAATTTCAAATACTTTCCGAGGAAAACAATTTGGGAATGATGAAATGCTCGCGCCACTGAAATAGACCACTCTTTCGTTTTGATAGGATGACCGACGTGGGAAATTCGATTCTAATCTTCAAGATTCAAATCTTGAATTCAATAACTGTTTGAATAAAGAGCTAACTTCAAATATGTATTCTGTGCAGAGGAAATTTTACTCAGCAGTATTGTAGATGTGTGTATAGAAAATTTTGAAATAAATGCCTTGACTGACAATTGGATCTAACATACTGTCCAGCTAACAAACTTGATGCATATTAAATTTCTGTACAAACGTTTAAAGAGAGATCTACTGTACTTTCCAAATATTTTTATGACAACAACTTGAAAGTTCCCCTAAAGAAATTATCAGCTGATCAGCATTGTTCCAATCCCAGCTTACAAACATCATGCTGGAACAAATTGTTTTGTTAGCCAAGACGAATCCACTGTAAATCAAATTAGCATCAACTTATCTTCCAGCACATTTATCGAATTATGAAGTCTAAATATATACCGTATTTCACGTTTGTCTTAGCTTTGAAAGAGACGCATATACATCAAAACTTCGAAAATTCCTTCCATTATGCAGAACATCCTAAATTTAATCAGAGATAAAAACAAATATCTTGAAAAGAAATTCTCCGAAAAGTCGTCGAAATGTAAGAGCAAGCTGGAATAAGAGAGTTTCAAGAAAGAGCCGCTGGGAGCAAAAACTGAAATCTAACAAAGAAGTAGGCGTAGAAAAGTTAACAAAAGACCTTGCGATCAACGTACATTTAAAAAAGTTCAAGAAAAAACTGTACAATTTGTAGGCAGTGTTAGTTCCTTTATAAATTCCGTTTGTTAGGTCAGATTGAGTCACCCTTTGGATAGGTCAAAAACTGAATCAATCAGAAGTTCGGACGTTTTCGGCTATATAGCCAAAGATCATGCTGTAGCCGTATATTTTTTGCGTGTCACTCCTCTTCAGACTTGCAGCTTCTAAAAATGTATATTAAATAAATTATATTAGCGCTGAATCGAATTAAATTGGACGTTTACGATAAATTTGTGACCTAGGTGGTAGTCTCGCTTGACTTTCATGTTGTGTTTAATATTCTACATACCAAATATTATAATTTTTGGC